GCCTCAGTCTCCCGAGTGCTGGGATTACAGGCAAGTACCCAGCATTTGTGGGGGTTTTTTTTCCTTCTTTGAGCAAATCTTAACAGAAGACCTATGATATGCAAGTACAAGGCTATATCCTAAACTGATACTCTTAGTTTTTTAGCAAGAGGAATTTGCTTTTAGTAAAAGATGCACACCTAGAACATATGTAAACTAAGGAAAAGTAAAACATGGTTAATGGTATAATAGTAGAAACTAAGCACTAGAGTTCAGAAAAGAAAGATTAGAATAAAGCCTTGGGGAGGATTAATTTTGATTGGCACTGTAACGATGCACAATGAAAAGTCACTTAAGTGTCACAAAGAAAATCATCTTTAAGAACACAGGAAACCACAAATTTTACATTCTAAAAATCACATGAAAGCAAACTTTCAGGAAAAAGTGGGCCAGATAATTTAGTTGTGATCAATGCTCTAATTCAGAGTACAAACGATAGAAAAAATTTAAAAAGTTATTCTTAAATAGAAAAACTAACAAGATGGTAAAGAATCTAGGAAGAAAAAATCTAGGCAAGGGCTAAAAATGAGAAATTAAGCACAATATTCACTGTGGTTTTATACTGAGGATGTCTCTGACCTGAAAGCTGTGGCAACAATGCCATTAAAAACAACATAAACAGGGGGCTGGAGATTTAGCTCAGCAGCACAAGCGCCTGCCTTGCAAGCAGGCAGTCGTGAGTTCGATCCCTGGTACCGATAAAAAGGAAAAAGACAAAAAAAAAAATAAATAAAAAATAAAAAAATAAACAGAAGTTAAATTCAGGAATCTCTCTCAGGTATGGTGTCCAATAACCATCTATGTACACCTCCTTCATAGTTTTGGTATCAAAGAACTACATCCTCAAGGTAAAGATGAAATGTAAAACAGCAAGAATAATGGACAGTGTGAACAGGTCCAAAGAGAATTGAGACTGTGGAATTAAACTTATGGATTATAAAACACTGTGCTTAGCATCTGTAAAGAAATAAAAATCAGCTGGGTGTTGGTGGCATGCACCTGTAATCCCAGCACTCGGAAGGCTGAGGTAGCCTGGGGCTACAAAGTAAATTGAAGGCCAGCCTGAACTGCATAGTGAAAGCCTGTTTCAAAAAAAAGACAAAGAAGGAAAGAAAAGAAAGAAAAATCAAACCTCACTATGAATAGGGAATAAGAAACTAAAACAGCAGCAAAGCCAAAGAGAACTTCAGTAACTAAAAAATGCTAGGGGTGTGGCTCAGTGGTACAGCACTTGCCTAGCATATGCATACAGACCCTGCAGTCAATCCCCAGAACTGCAAAAAAAATTAAAAATCAAGTAACTGAATTTAACATTTTGGTGGATGAGTTTAGTAACAGATGGGAAATAAAGCAAAATTAATGAAGGAGTTTCCAGAATATAGTATGGAAAAGTAGAAACAGAAACAGAAAATAAAGGAAGAAAGGAAAGGCCAATGGGCAGAAGCAATATATGGAAAACAGCTGAGAATTTTAAAGAAATAATGAAAGAATCTAATCCATAGCTGGGAAGTTTAATAAATACATAGCAAAAAACTGAACAAAAACTAACATAGTTGGACATACGATAGTGAAAGTGCAGAAAACCAGAGACTGAGGCAGGAGGATCACAAGTTTGATCCCAACTGGGACAACCCAGCAGAACCCTCAAAATTTTAAAAAACTTAAAATGGTCTCAGGATGTAGCTCAGGGCAAAGGGCCTGAGCTCAATCCCCAGTATGACTTTTTAAAAAATACATAATACCAAAGACAAAGATAAAACAACACTGAAAACATTCCACAGGATACAAAATCAACACAAAAGAATCAACAGTGTTTTTGTACACCAACAATGAACCCACAGAGAAAAAAAAATCAGGTCAACAATTCCATTTACAAAAGCTTCAAAAAATACCTAGGAATCAATCTTAATCAAGGAAGTTAAATGAAAGTTAATGAAAATTACAGAATTCTTAAGAAATTGAAAAGGGCATTAGAGAATATAAAGACACTCTTTGTTCTTGAATAGAAAGAACTGATATCATGAAAATATTACTAAAAGCCATCTGTAGATTTAATGCAAACCCTAATAAAAAACCAGTCACGTTCTTCAAAGAACTAGAAAAGGCAACTTAAAATTAATAAGAAATCAGAAGACCCAGAATAGCTAAAGAAACTCTGAGCAAAATGAGAAACCTAAACTATAAATAGACATCACAATACCAATTTCAAATCATACCTCAAAGGTACAGTAACTAAAACATGACACAAACACAAAAGCAGGCATGTATGGTAGGCCACTGAAATACAAATACATCTACAGTCATCTGATTCTTGACAAAGGAGCCAAAAACATAGGCTGGAGAAAAAAGAGTCTTTCACAAATGCTGCTGAGAAAACTGGATATCCAACTGCAGAATACTAAAACCAGATCCAAATCAAAGACCTAGATACAAAAATAGAAACCTTGAAACTGTTGTAAGATAACAGAGGAAACACTTGAAGCTATAGGTCCAGAAAGAACTTCTTGAATAGAACTCGAATAGGATAGAAAATATCAAAAATCACTCTGTGGGATATAATCAAGTTTAAAAGTTTCTGAAAAGGAAACAAACAACAGAAAGAAGTGCAAATCTACAGAATGGGAGAAAATTTTTGCTGGTTACCATTCTGATAGAGGACTAATACCTAGAATATATAAAGAACTTAAAATAATAAAAGAAAAAAATAAAAATCTCCCCAAAACAAGTGATCCTATAAAACTGGATAAATGAACTGAAAAGACACTTCTCAAAAGTAGTACATACATGAAAAAATGTTCAACATTGGTTTGCCATTAGGGAAATGTAAATTGAAATACCTGAGATTACATCTTACCCCACCCAGAAAGGATATCATGAAAAAAATCAATGAATGGTTATAGGCGAGAAACCTGTATGTAAACTACAACAACCCTGTGGAAATCAGTTTGGAGATTACAGAGGGAAAAAACTACAAATAGAAATACCATTTGACCTAGCTATAACTTTCCTAGGTATATTCTAGAAAGACATCATACTATTTGATACATTCATACCCATGTGTATTAGAGAAGCAATTCACAATACTTAAGCCCTGGAAACATCTGCCTCTCAATAAATGGGTGGATAAAGAAAATGTGAGTTAAATATACATATAGTGAAATATTCTTCAGGCATAAAAAAAATATGTCACTGGCAGGAAAATGGATGGAACTCAAGACCATTATCCTAAGTGAAATCAACTAGACTCGGAAAGCTAAATATCCATGTTTTCTTATATATGAGAAACCTAAAGTATAAATAAATGAATAAAATATATATGCTAGAAAACTAGAAGTGCAACTCTTGGAGATGGAGAAGGGAAGAGGGGATAAACAGTTATATGCATGTAACAAAACCCCCCAACAGAACATCACTGTTCTGTATTATAAATGTGAATTTTTTAAAAACCATAAACATTTTTTAATAAAGATCATATTTAAGAATAAATCATATTTAAGTATGTTTTTAAAAGTTTAACTGTGAGCACACAGAAAAGGTTTAATTCAGCTGTCACAAAAACAGATGACACTATGACTGAGCCTACAGCTGAACCATGCACTTAAATTACTTCATTTACCAGATACCTGGTTTTAAATGTCTGAAGCAGCATGATCATAACCACATACCAAATTCTTAGAGGTCACAGTGAAGACTGACAATTGTTACATCGTCTTAATATAGTTCCTTTCTTCAGACCTTGAAGAATTTCCCCATAAAGACACTAAAACTTCAGTAGAGAAAGATAGTCAGCATCCTCCACTTTCAGACCCTTACCAACTGTCCACAAGTCATCTTAGGGCTCCAACTGGAAGGTTCAAAAACTGCCTTTGTGTCCCTTCAGTTTTTATGTCAAAGGGGTTTCTAAACACTGACTCTTTTCAAAGATTTCAGAAGCAGTGCCCCCAGACCATTTTATGGTGTCCCCAAGGCACATCATGTAGCCAGACTGAGGAACTGACAATTAGTTCTAATCTCACAGCCACTACACAAGCGGTCACTGGGAATTTTTATCACTAGGCTCAAATTTGGTTTCCTAGATTCCACTATAGACTCCCTCAGGCTACCGGAGAGCGGCGTGGAGGTGGGGAGGAGGAGGGTGTGTGTTTGTGTGAGAATATTCGCGTTTAGAAAATAAAGAAGTTTTCTTCCAACGTTTAAAAATCGCTGCTATGAACAAGTAAGCCTCCCTTTTTTCCGCTGTCTTGCCTGACATTCCCAAGGGCCACAACTTTCAAGACATCTCAACTCTAGGTCTTAACTGTCTAAGTGACCTGCAAAACGGACACGCCGGCTTGTTTTCTGTTTGGAAAAAAAATGCACTTAGCACAGCAACTACACGGCACATAGTGAATGTTTCCCACCCTGCACTCATCCCGAACAGCTTGGTGCTGTTCCAAAATCTCTGGAACAGACCCGGCTCCTCATTTAAGGCTTGGGGGCTCCATTCAGAAGTGGAGAAAGCAACCAGAGACGCGGAATCGTGGGCCGACCTCAGGGGGTCGAGGAGCCTCGCCCCACGACTCTTAATCAAGCCTTTTCTTTAGGCTCCCTCGGCTCCGCTCAAGCTAGGCCCCGCCAGCTCCGGGCCTTAACGACTCAAGACACTGGACAAATGTGTGAACTGAGTGCAGGTCTGGCCCTAACTTTTAACTTCAGCTACGGCTCATCATCTCCTTAGTGAAAAGCCCAGGCTGTTTCGCCGCTTGCCAGAACCCAGGACGCACTCACCTACCAGCGCGCGGGAGGCGAGACTCCCTCACCTCGGCGGCGCCCACCCCAACCGCCACCACAATGGCCGTCACTCTCAAAAAAAAAAGAGAAGAAAGAAAAGAAAAGAGAAAAGAGAGAAAAAAACTAAAGAAAGCTAAAAAAGCCTTTGCTTTTGTATTCCTTTTGACCCTTCAGGGCTTCCTATTCCTCACCGCCACAACAAAGTCCCGCCCCGCTTCCGGCGATGTAATCCAATCAACAGTTCTCTTTCTCCTCCCGAGCCCGATGGAAATCCGGTGCTCCAAAAGCGAACGGTAGAGACTTCATTGGGCCATTCACCTCTCAGCAAAAGGATTGGCCAACTCACACCCGGGGGGCGGGCCGAGTCGTGGTATCACGTGATACAATTCTTGAAATAATATTGGCTGTTAGGTAGGGGGATTGCCACCAAGGAAGGGGCGTTTCCTAGGTGACTGAGGGTGGGCCTGGGCGGTACGAAGCGGGGGTGGGCCCTGCGCGTAATGGCAGCGCCGTGGCCTCGCGTCCATCTTTACCGCTCTCTAGGACCTGTCACAAAGGAGTCTCGCTGCTACCGCCGCCCCCTACCTCCGGCTGGCCCGAGAGCTAGAGAAGTCAGTGCCTGAACCGTGTCACGCGGCTCCGGGGAGTCCTGTGGGGACGTGAGGGGGAAGTTGAATCCGAGGGCTGAGGACGTCTGTGAGGGAGGGAAACAGTGGCTTGGTCCTGGGGCGGAGAGACCGGACTGGGTTCGGGGCAGCCTCCTAAATGGGCCGAGAAGAGGGTGGCTTTGGGCAGATCCCGGAACACAGCAGGGAGGTCTCCACCAAGATCGGTGCCTAAGGCGCCTGATAGAGGTTCCGAAAAGAGGGTGTTCCCCCTGTGAGGGGTCTCGCCTGAAGCAGGTTCCTGGGAGTCTCTTCCGAGGCTGCTGCGGCTAAGGGGGCCCAGGTGAGAGGCAGGTATCTGGGAAGGCTCGTGGGACCGAGTAGGGCTCCTCAGGGCTTCCTGGGACAGAAAGGACAAGGGGGAGGACGCTTTGGGAGGGTTTCCTTTTGTGGAGTTTGCGGCTTAAATGGGAGGCAGAGCTCCCCTTGGGAGATCCAGGAACGCCTTGGGCTCCGGAGCCGCCACGGAGAGACAGAGGGTAGGAAAGCCAGACCTAGCGGATTCTCCTCTGGAGGCCCGAGCTGAGAATGGAGTAAGGATCTTGCAGAGAAAGGGTCTTTCTGGGCAGATCGGAGGAATACTGTAGTGAGAGGAAGCGGGAAGGGCCAGGGGTCTTTCTCTCCCTGGAGACTGACCTGGTGCTTTAGACGCAGGATTCAACTTCTTTCGGGCTCAGAGCCAGGGTGGATGGAGGGAGTCCCTCTCACCAACACCCTCTTCATGACTTCAGATTAGGCATTTGTCCTTGCCTGTTACCTCACTTTCCCTGTTTTGGAGGAGGGAGACCAAAGAGAGCTGGTCAGCTGAGACTCTGAGCTCCTGTCTTGGGTAGTTATCTGAGTGAGGGTGCTCCTCCTGGAGTGTTGTACTTTGAACTTTTAAGGGTTGTAAGTGTCTATTATTGACTGAGTAGAGACCTGCAGTTTTCCAGCCCCATCACCTACCATCTCCTTGTCCTTAGTTGTAGAGCAGTTTAACTTCCTTTAGTCTCTCTTTAAAATAACCAATGCAGTGTGTGAAAGTACTTTTTAAACTGCAGGCGAGGGGTGAAGTAAGGAACTATATATGATATTCCACCATCCAAATGGTTGCTTTTGAGAAATAAGTCAACGCACTTTCTAAATTGTAAAGCAGTTTGTAGATATATGACAATAGCATTAGTAGAGTAATTGATCACCTATATAGGAGCCATTTTGTACTGAAAGTTTCAAGGTTTACAGCTTTTTAGGTGGTACTAGAAGCTAAACTCATGATTTCAAACCCTGTTTTGATGGGAGTAGAGTGATTTCCAGTTTTTGCTCGCTGAGTTTTAATTTACTTTGAACTTCTGGCAGCAGTTAGCACTATAATATAATCTTCAGGGAGTTTTCCCTGACAGCCAAAACTTTCTGCAAGTAATTTGACCTGAAGATTATAAACTTTCTCTCTCTTCATACATGCCATGGCCTTTGAATATTATAGTGAAATCAGTACTTGCTTGCACAGTTGTGATTGGTAAATGAAACAGCCTTCTTCCCTTCATGTATTTTATGCCTTGTTGTGGCTGACCTGGAGTATATATTGTGTGCTCCTACGTTTCTCTCTTATAAGGATTCTCTTAATTTTTCACCTGAGATAGTTTTCCATTCCCTGGTATGATACCTCTCTTTGTTGAGCCCTATATGAGGTCATAATATTTGCATCCATGTGTGATACTTCGCTAATGTCTGGTTAGTCGCGTTTCTTAGAGCTGTTTCTCCAAATAATGGGTAATTTATTTGCGATTTTTAAACTAGCTTTTCTTTTCTTTTGTGTGTGTGTGTGTGTGCAGTGCTGTGTATCAAACCCAGGACCCTTCACAGGCTAGGCAAGCAAGCTCTCCATCTACATCCCCAGCCCCAGTTTTTCCAATCTTATGTTCAGTGGGTCTTTATTTAAAACTGCTAATTTTGTGACCTTTTTGATTTCTCGGGATACATGCTGCCCAAAACTGCTTAATGTCTGTATTCTGCTTATTGATGATTTTGTAAGTTCTTTATTTTTTTCCGTACTTAATTTTAAGTTGTTGATTATAGGAAGTATTCCAGCATATTCCATAGGAACTGTTTCTGCTTTGTTAGCAGAGTAACTTTTCCTATAGTGTGTTATTCTATAGTGAATAGGAAAAAAATAGCTCTGAAGTATGTTTTGGCAAGAGAAAACAAAATTGTCATGTTCCTGAAGTGCTTTAACAATAGTCTGTTTCCACTCTGCTTTATATAGCCTATCAAGAATCATTTATATTTTCCTAATAATGTAATTTGTTAAACTGAAATGAGAAATCATTTTTATTCTTTAAAATACAACTTTTTTGTGAATTTTAAAATCTGTGAGTATGGATAAACTATTACCCATTCTTTTTTTTTTTTTTTTTTTTTTTTTTTCCAACGGTACCAGGGATCGAACTCACAACTGCCTGCTTGCAAGGCAGGCGCTTAGGCCACTGAGCTAAACCCCTAGCCCCTATTACCCATTCTTGAAGATGTTAATCACTATTGTACGACTTTATATTGGAAATATTATTTTGTGGTGGTATCTTTCTTTGTAAAGTTGAGTGTGATAGTCATAGAGTCCCAACAGTAAGTGTAAAGTCAGTGGGCACCACAAATGAGAAGCACAGTGAAACCAGTTGAAAAGAGTTCTTTAGAGTTAGTAAACTATGGACTTAATTTCTTTTAAGGTTTTGGCATTTTCAAGGCATTTACCACTAAATTGGGATAGTTTTTCCCCCTGGTATTCATATTTAGAACAAAATAATCAGGAGGTATGCCAAAACTTTAGACCAAAAACTCTAGGAGGAAACTTCTACAACTTTTAGAAGTGAAAAATAATAATTTCCCTTTGGTTTATCTATTCAGTCAGTTTTTGAAGTAGTTTTCTTGCTGACTAGGAAAAAAAAGTACAAATTTGTCACATTTTGCTTTCCATGTCCATTCCAAAAGAGGGTGGTTACTGGTTAAATATGCAGTTTATATAACCATGTAGTGGTTACATATGCCTGACAGCTATAGGTAAAAATGTGACATACACAAGGGTAAATGAAGTAAAGTTACCTTTTAAATAGTGATGGACTGGTAAAAGATATTCCTCTTTCTGAGATTTTGAGAATTAAGATATTTGATATAGTGAACAACTATATAGTGAAAAACTAATGTTTGTTGAGTAAACTCTGCATATAGATTCTTAAGGATTAAAATTACAGTTTCCAGGCATGATTTCATGGGTCCTGTATGCCTGAAATAGGAGATTTGAAATGCCTTACTCAGCTAATATAGCATTACCTCATAGTTTAACGTTTCAGTGTTAGTTTTTTCTTACGCCTACTACCTCCTAAATAATAGTAGTTTTTCTTTGTTCACTTAATGCAATGATTCTCAAAATATGGTTACTATCATACCTCTTGTGGGGAAGGAAATGTAGCTCCTTCAGTTCTTATTGCTTCATAGTTGTTCCAACCTTCATATGCCTGACAGCTACTTATTAATAACGTACTAAGTAAATTATTACATAGTATGAGTATCCCAAAACTAAAGTGATTAGAACTTATTGTGCTCTGCAGCATCTTCTCCTGCCAGGTAGTCTGTCCTGGGAAACTGGCACTAATGCAAAGTTCTCCCGTGTCATACACAGAATGGGAATTCTGCCATATTTGGGGTGGCTGCTTGTTTGGGGTACATCATTAATGTTATCTCAAAATTATATTGGTTTTCCATTGGGATGCTTCGGGGGCTGGGGATTTAGTTCAGTGGCATAAGCGCCTGCCTTGCTAGCAGGCAGTCGTGAGTTCGATCCCTGGTACCCATAAAAACGAAACACACACACACACAAAAATCCCTTTGAAATCCATTGGGATGATTCCTTTTTGTTGGAGTTTTTTTTAAATTATCATTACCATTTAGCTTTAGTTTTAATCATCTTAATTTATGAACTTTTGCTTTAATTTTTTACTATGTGACTAGGGATGTTTATATGGCAGTATTTTGGCATATAAGTTAAAGAAGTAAGTTTATTATAATGCAAGTAGACCTCTGTTTCCCTTTTACTGATTTGTACAGCCATCTAAGAACTTGCTTATATAAATAGCATTACAGTGTTACTAAGTTCCTTTTCCATTGGAAAATTGATGGGGCCACAGACCTCCTTCTAGTGGACCTGATGCTTTATCCTTAGGCTTCAGGTAAGAAGCAAAATGTATTGCTGTCCTTTATCCCTAATCTCGGTTCCTTGCCAAGAGGATGTGGAACCATGTTTTATCTTTTCTCAGTTCCTAACATATAACCACTGGATGTATATTTATTGAATGTATTTATTAAGTATATTAGATGTATATTTATTTATTCAGTTTGTTGTACAAAGGATCAAACCTAAGGGGGCTCTACCACTGAGTTACATCTCGAGCTGTTTTTTATTTTTTATGTTGTTTTTTGAGGCAAGGTCTTGCTAGATAGCTCAGGCTGACTTTAAACTCACTCTACAGCTCAAGGTGGCCTCAAACTTGTAGTGATCCTCCTACCTCAGCCTTCTGAATGCCGAGATTATAGACATGTGCCACTGTGCTTAGCTTTTATGTTTTATTTTGCAGTAGGGTCTGGCTAAATTGCCCAGGTTGGCCTCAAACTTGTCAGTCCTCCTACTAATTCTGAGTAACTGGGATTACACACATGTGTCACTGTGCCCAGCAGCATCTGTTTTTTAAA